TATATATACTGGTACTAGACCTAGGCACATTAATTTCTTTGAAAAAGCAACACTTACGGAAAGTTCGGGTTACAAAATCCCGACCACCCAAATACAAAACGCGATACATGAAACTTCCGAAATATAAAATACTAATTACTATTTGTCTTAATTTGACAGAGCACGAAGGTTCATGCCCTCAATTACCTATTGCAATTTGCATTGGTGATACCTGTGAAACTGATGATAGGTGTGGTCAGAAGGAAAAATGCTGCCCGACTAGCTGTGGCAGTAAGGTCTGCATTGCCGCTATACCGCCTGAAGATGTCCAATCGATAACCGATAATACTCCAGAAGGAGATATCAACAATGCCAAACACGTAGCGCATGGTAAGTAAAATAGGCCGAAACAATACATGAAACTTCCAAAATATAAAATACTAATTATTATTTGTCTTAATTTGACAGAGCACGAAGGCACATGCCCTCCAATACCTATTGCAATTTGCATTGGTGATACCTGTGAAACTGATGATAGGTGTGGTCAGATGGAAAAATGCTGCCCGACTAGCTGTGGCAGTAGGGTCTGCATTGTTGCTCTACCGCCTGAACATGTCCAATCGATAACCGATAGTACTCCAGAAAGAGATATCAACAATGCCAAACACGTGGCGCATGGTAAGTAAAATAGGCCAAAACCATGGAGAATGCAACATGATGATGAGCACGCAATAGACTTTTTAAAATTACAATCCGCTCAGCCGCAAGTCGCAAGAATCTTCTGGAAATCGGGACGGCCTCCCGCACTCTCACAAGCATGCAAGAATCTCCCGGAAAATGTCTTATCTTCCGTAAATTTAATATCTGATATCAAATTCATAACTTTATTTATCAATTATTCCACTGAAATCGATTACGATGGGCATCGCTATGAGCAGAAATATAAAACTTGGGACTCTTGCGTATAGACTGGGGCGTCGATAATTTTTAACCCGCACATTTTGCAACACAAACATTTTGAACATATGCAGTTTTGGTTTGAATGTATTTGGATTGCGAAATGTGTCAGCTGAAGTGTTAAGAAAATGTTGCCTCCAAACTAAAATACCAAACCAAAGTAAGATCAAATGCTGGTCACTCAATTCCTATACAACTCTCCTAGCATTGTGGATCGATCATGCTTGAGAAAGAAACAAACAAATCAATGATTCAAGGATGGATGAGTAAAATTATGAAAATTAATTTGTATTTAAAGTTTAACGTTTTGATTACTGTGTATAGGCCTACCGGTATTTTCTCTCTTTAACTTACATCAGATTAAATACAATGAATACAAAAAACCAGACAGTATTTTATATTAGGCCTATTTCTATTTATTCAGTCAAAGGGAATAAAAATATTAGAAGGGAACAAGAATGGTGATCTTAATCTATGTAGGATTATGGTGAAACTATGTAAAAAATTGAAATAAATTCATCAGGTGATCTTGATATTACTGTTTTCATTTGGAATACTGAATGCATATAAATAGCAAATGCCATCTGAGAATGAAATCTCAAAATGTATTGATTATCCAGATGAATTGAATATTAATGTTAAAAAATTAGCCTTGAATAAAGCCCAATATACAAAACAGAAAAGTGCGGCATTCCAGATGTCACAATACCAGAAGATGTTTCAGCAACTCAGAAACATTACCAACGATGTCCTTTGTGCGCTAGTAATATTATACTAGCCTAAAGCAAAGGTGTCACGATTTCATGTGAGAGCAGTACGTACCGGTATTTGTTTTGGCGATTTTGTGTCCAAATATAAGTAGGGCTGTAACTGCTTAAATATATATTTTTTCAGACCAACCTAGGCCCGGCAAATGTCCACTCCCCGATGACATCACAGGGGATTGCTCGGAATCCAACTGCCAGTCGGACTCCACGTGCGGCACTAATGAGAAATGCTGCATGACAAGATGTAACAACAAAATGTGTGTTGCTGCTGTCACAAGACCAGAAGGTATTTCAACAGCTCAGAAACATAAACCATCAATGTCTTTGGTACACTATATTATGATAGCCTAACGCAAAGGTGTCACGATTTCATGTGGAAGTAGTACGTATTTGTTTTGGTGATTTTGTCCAGATGATTGTAAGGCTGTAACTGCTTAAATATATATTTTTCAGATCAATCTAGGCCCGGTAAATGTCCACTCCCCGATGACATCACAGAGGATTGCTCGGAATCCAACTGCGAATCCGACTCCACCTGCGGCACTAATGAGAGATGCTGCATGACAAGATGTAACAACAAAATGTGTGTCCCTGTCGTAACAAGACCTTCAATTGACTTTATACAACAAGGTATCTCAGTCATTTATAAATCTAAACTAATTGAGTACTAGGCTAGCACAAAACAAATGTAGAGGTAAATGGCACGTCGTAATTGTCTCTTGGTGTCTAATTGAAAGGTCGGGGTAGTCTGAGGCTACTTGTTGATTCATTGGAAAAAGCAGTATGTATTCATTGTTTCCTTTATACCTAGGATTAAATGGGTACCTGTTCTACCATGAATACGGTTGTAAGTGTATTGACAGGAATAGGCCTAATCTGCGAACTTGAACATTAGAAATGTACATTTTAATATCTAATTAGAATCCTTTCAAGATTACTTATTATGAGAACAGTACTGATTTGTTTTGATGACTGTGTATAAGTATAGTTTATAATATAATTGCTTACTTTTCAGAGCAACTTAGGCATACTGGTGATTGTCCACTTCCCACAGAAATAACAGTGGATTGCTCCGCATCGGGGTCCGCATCCATTTGCCAGGCGGACTCCATGTGCGCCCCCAAAGAGAAATGCTGCCTGACAACTTGTAAAAAAGACATGTGTGTTCCTGCTGTCCCAAGACAATCAGTTAACCTTGTCAGAAGACCTGCAGGTATCTCAATGGTGTATTTAGTATAAGACAGAAAAAATTAGCCTTGAATAAAGCCCCATGTACAAAACAGAAAAGTGCAGCGTTCCAGATGTCACAATACCAGAAGGTATTTCAGCAACTCAGAAACATTACCAACGATGTCCTTGGTGCGCTAGTAATATTATACTAGCCTAAGGCAAAGGTGTCTCGATTTCATGTGAAAGCTGTACGTATTTGTTTTGGCGATTTTTTCCCAGATGTAAGTAAGACTGTAACTGCTTAAATGTAGGTATTTTTTTCAGATCAACCTAGGCCCGGTAAATGTCCACTCCCTGATGACATCACAGGGGATTGCTCGGAATCTAACTGCCAGTCGGACTCCACGTGCGGCACTAATGAGAAATGCTGCATGACAAGATGTAACAACAAAATGTGTGTTGCTGCTGTCACAAGACCAGAAGGTATTTCAACAGCTCAGAAACATAAACCATCAATGTCTTTGGTACACTAGATATATTATGCTAGCCTAAAGCGATTTCATGAGAGAGCAGTACTGTATTACAAAATATATATACAAAAATGTGCTGTCCGGCTGTTCAAGTACCAGATGGTATTGAGTGGTCAGAAATGGTCATTGGTATCTCTTGTAGGGAAAGCATATTAAGATCGACACGAGAGGTGTTATTTGAAGGAGGCCCCGTTATTATTTACGAGAGTGTATGTGTGGAAAAATTAATAATTTATGTTGAGAAATAGCGGATTGAACGTGGCGTGACTCAATGACAACTTGCAAATAGTTGTCGTGGCAGGAATTAAACATCTTCAGATTTTAGGATCTGAGATACAACTGCCAGTCGGACAGTGTGTTCGGCACTAATGAGAAATGCTGTATTCCTGATGTTACAAGATAGCCAGTTAACTTTGTCAGAAGACCTGCAGGTATCGCAATGGTGTATTTAGTATATGATAGGAAAATTTGCCTTGAATAAAACCCCCATGTTACAAATTCGTATGAGTGTAGTACGTATACATTTCGTTTTGTGGATTTGTACAGATGTAAGTAAGGCTATGACTGCTTAAATATATTTTTCAGATCAACCTAGGCCCGGTAAATGTCCACTCCCTGATGACATCACAGGGGATTGCTCGGAATCCAACTGCCAGTCGGACAGCGTTTGCGGCACTAATGAGAAATGCTGCATGACAAGATGTAACAACAAAATGTGTGTTGCTGCTGTCACAAGACCAGAAGGTATTTCAACAATTCAGAAACATAAACCATCAAAGTGTCTTTGGTACACTAGAGATATTATGCTAGCCTAAAGCGATTTCATGTGAGAGCAGTACTGTATTACAAAATATATATACAAAAATGTGCTGTCCGGCTGTCCAAGCACCAGAGGGTATTGAGTGGTCAGAAATGGTCATTTTTATCTCTTGTAGGGAAAGCATTTTAAGATCGACACGAGAGGTGTTATTTGAAGGAGGCCCCGTTATTATTTACGAGAGTGTATGTGTGGAAAAATTAATAATTTATGTTGAAAAATAGCGGATTGAACGTGGCGTGACTCAATGACAACTTGCAAATAGTTGTCGTGGCAGGAATTAAACATCTTCAGATTTTCGGATCTGAGATACAACTGCCAGTCGGACAGTGTGTGCGGCACTAATGAGAAATGCTGTATTCCTGATGTTACAAGATAGCCAGTTAACTTTGTCAGAAGACCTGCAGGTATCGCAATGGTGTATTTAGTATAATGATAGGAAAATTTGCCTTGAATAAAACCCCCATGTTACAAATTCGTATGAGTGCAGTACGTATACATTTCGTTTTGTGGATTTGTACAGATGTAAGTACGGCTATGACTGCTTAAATATATTTTTCAGATCAACCTAGGCCCGGTAAATGTCCACTCCCTGATGACATCACAGGGGATTGCTCGGAATCCAACTGCCAGTCGGACAGCGTTTGCGGCACTAATGAGAAATGCTGCATGACAAGATGTAACAACAAAATGTGTGTTGCTGCTGTCACAAGACAGCCAGTTAACTTTGTCAGAAGACCTGCAGGTATCGCAACGGTGTATTTAGTATATGATAGGAAAATTTGCCTTGAATAAAACCCCCATGTTACAAATTTGTGTGAGTGCAGTACGTATACATTTCGTTTCGTAGATTTGTACAGATGTAAGTAAGGCTATGACTGCTTAAATATATTTTTCAGATCAACCTAGGCCCGGTAAATGTCCACTCCCCGATGACATCACAGGGGATTGCTCAGAATCCAACTGCCAGTCGGACTCCACGTGCGGCACTAATGAGAAATGCTGCATGACAAGATGTAACAACAGAATGTGTGTTGCTGCTGTCACAAGACCAGAAGGTATTTCAACAGCTCAGAAACATAAACCATCAATGTCTTTGGTACACTAGATATATTATGCTAGCCTAAAGCGATTTCATGTGAGAGCAGTACTGTATTACAAAATATATATACAAAAATGTGCTGTCCGGCTGTCCAAGCACCAGAGGGTATTGAGTGGTCAGAAATGTTCATTTTTATCTCTTGTAGGGAAAGCATTTTAAGATCGACACGAGAGGTGTTATTTGAAGGAGGCCCCGTTATTATTTACGAGAGTGTATGTGTGGAAAAATTAATAATTTATGTTGAGTAATAGCGGATTGAACGTGGCGTGACTCAATGACAACTTGCAAATAGTTGTCGTGGCAGGAATTAAACATCTTCAGATTTTAGGATCTGAGATACAACTGCCAGTCGGACAGTGTGTGCGGCACTAATGAGAAATGCTGTATTCCTGATGTTACAAGATAGCCAGTTAACTTTGTCAGAAGACATGCAGGTATCGCAATGGTGTATTTAGTATATGATAGGAAAATTTGCCTTGAATAAAACCCCCATGTTACAAATTCGTATGAGTGCAGTACGTATGCATTTCGTTTTGTGGATTTGTACAGATGTAAGTACGGCTATGACTGCTTAAATATATTTTTCAGATCAACCTAGGCCTGGTAAATGTCCACTCCCTGATGACATCACAGGGGATTGCTCGGAATCCAACTGCCAGTCGGACTCCACGTGCGGCACTAATGAGAAATGCTGCATGACAAGATGTAACAACAAAATGTGTGTTGCTGCTGTCACAAGACCAGAAGGTATTTCAACAGCTCAGAAACATAAACCATCATGTCTTTGGTAAACTAGATATATTATGCTAGCCTAAAGCGATTTCATGAGAGAGCAGTACTGTATTACAAAATATATATACAAAAATGTGCTGTCCGGCTTTCCAAGCACCAGAGGGTATTGAGTGGTCAGAAATGGTCATTGGTATCTCTTGTAGGGAAAGCATTTTAAGATCGACACGAGAGGTGTTATTTGAAGGAGGCCCCGTTATTATTTAGTGTATGTGTGGAAAAATTTATAATTTATGTTGAGAAATAGCGGATTGAACGTGGCGTGACTCAATGAAAACTTGCAATAGTTGTCGTGGCAGGAATTAAACATCTTGAGAGTTTACGATCTGAGATACAAAATATTAGATTTAGACAATGATTTGTGCACAGAGAACAAATTGTTTAGATTAAACATAGCAGAATACAAAACGATTACTGTAGCCTACAGTATTTTGGTTATGACTGTATTTATGTTCTATCATTACAATATAAAGGCATCCTAAAGGAAGATAGACGTTTGAAGAGACAACCCTTCCCTGATCCACGACCAGAGCAAATCATTGAAGAATCTGAAGACAGAATTCGATGGTGTGTACCAAGTGTCTGTGAGCTCAAGAAATGTCAGCGTATGGTCAATGAATTCACTTACAACCTGACCCCACGCAAAGACTGGAGATGTATCCAGGCTGAGTCCAAGGAACAGTGTTTGTACTGGTAAGAAATGTTACAATTTATTAACGATTTTGATTGTCACCAAGCCGACCAGAGGTTTAAAAAGAAACATTTTTACCACGTAACAATATTATGATAGCAGCCTATTCTTAGCCAAAGAGTAGACAGATTACGGTGTGAAGAAGTATGCATAGGCCTATCCTATTTTTTTAATTTTCAGGGTATCCAGAAGACTTGCCGATGTTGCTGTTACTCGGGTTGATGATGTATACACCGCTGTCAAGAAATACAAGCTAAAACCAATTGTCTATGAGGCTCCAGTCGTCAAGGTATAATTTTAAGTTCACTACCTGTCTATGTCCCTTCACATGCTAATTTTTCCATATTGCTCTCGAGCAAAAAGTTAAGTGGATCTGGTAGGATGGTAAAGTATGATATACTGTAAGTTATGTGCTGATACTTGCAGCATGGACGCTGGAATAATAGGCATTTTTCGCATTTTATTCATCTTGCGTAAATTTCAGGATTTTATGTGCTCGACATACATTAGTTATGGGTTTGCGCATGCATGTTTCGTTTTGTTTACAAAAAGGGGCGGAGCAATCGCGTTCCATGTTGGGTACTAACGTTAAAGTTAAGGTTAACGTCGTGCGGCGAAAACTACCTAATACCCTTTACCAACACTTCGTATCCTTTGGCAAAATGTTCTATATTAATGCACTTCTCTCTAAGCCCACTTCTCAATTTACTAATATATAAACACCCATGGAAATAGGTCTTCTGGTATTCGTGGATTTTCTTTGGTGTTTTAGTCAATCTAAAGAAAACCAAACTTCTTGTTATTATTAAGCATGAAAGGTCCACTGATTAATCTCAGATAAGAAATAAAGGTAAAATTAATCTACTTATGAAAAGCGTTAATGTGACGTAGGATGTGATGAAAATCATTAGGGTTAGCTAGCACTAGTGTGTCGTCAACAAAACGAGTATAAAACTTAATAATACCTGATTCTATAAGTTTAGGAACAATAGACTCTTCTAGTTCAGTCATTAAAATATTGGCTAAAACTGGTCCAAGGGGTGAGCCCATTGAAACGTCGTCAGTTTGGTTATAGAATTCATTATTACATGTAAATACAGTTTTAGTACAGCAATCCCTAAGTGGTTTCCTTAGTGTATTTTTCTTAAGATTAGTAGATATCAATTTCTTATTGTAAACCCTATCAAGAATTATATTAATTACCTTAGTATAAGGGGAACATTTGTAAACTGAGATTTAACATCAAAAGATACAAAACGGTAACCTAAATTATATAAATGGTCTGGTATACCTTTAATGCGGTCAGCAGCATTAAACGAATCTTTAAGGACAGATTAAATTTACCTTTGAATCATTTGAAAACAGTGATATAGTACATTTTTTTGGATTTACAATTTAACAACAGTGTAGGAAGCATGAGTATATATCGTAAAAAATACACATACAGGTCAATATGTCCATTATGATAGCTTTGCCCCATGGAACCATAAGATTTCTTGGATTCACCCTTTAAAAGTTGTTAACCATGTACTCAATAAAATAAATGAACCTAAATGTATACATAGGCCTACTGATGATAGCTTGATTAAGATTTGAGTTAGATTGCCTTATCTGGGGAAGACAGGTGAATCCATTTTACGTAGATGCTTAAACAAAGTAAAGAAACACTTAGTTAAAGAGGTAAAATTCATAACATTATGGCAGTACAAAAATGTCTCTCATTTTATATCTACTAAAGATCAAACCCCTAAGGAATATAGGAGCTCTGTTTTTATCATTTTAAATGTCCAGGTTGTAATAGTCATTATATTGGTAAGACAGATAGATGCTTAATAACTAGACTTAAAGAACATTCTTCATGATCCGAAAGTGTTATAAATGAACATATACAAAATTGTGAGGCATCCAATATGTTTTAGGTTTACAAAGGTATACTTGAAAATGAGAATGTAGCCTGTAATGTAAGTAATAAATTAGGTTTAATATTTTCTAATACTAACATTATTGACAGTTCGTAAAATTGGTCTATACTATACTATTGTTTAAAGAAGCGTTTGCTATTTGTAGGCTACACACATTGCTTAACAATGGGCTGAAAGCTTTAAAGTAGCTTTCTTTGTTTTTGTATTTAGCTTTGATCAGTAGGGTAAGAATGCTTTGATCTTTAGTTTAATCATAACTATGTCACCTACTGTACTAGGGGTAATGTTTTGATTGGTCAATCACTTTTGTATATATGGATAATTTTTCATTTCTGATGATGACATAATTAATGTCGAAACATTGAATCCCGACATGATGGCGTGCATTTTGATACTTGGAGTATGTATTATACTATCTTATATACATTTTACAGATATATATTCTTTGAATTTTAGCCATACAAAGGACGATACAAAGTTGAATATTGTTATTGGTATTGTTGTGTAACTATAACTTTGTCTGCAACCTGGCATATATGCAAAATAAAATGACGTCACTATATACATTCTTTAATATTTCAATACGTAGGGATCCGAATCACAGGCTCTGAATATCTGGGAGAGCATCACCTTGGCCATCACCCGCAGGGACAACACGGAAATCAACAGATGGTCTGATATTCAAGGAAAACCATCCTGTCATGCTGGAATCCAACAAACTTTCAGTTTCAAGGCACCAGTCTGCAGTCTTATCAGCAAGGAGATCATTCCAAAAAGGGGAGATTACATCGAAAGCGCCAGCCACTTCTTCTCTGAAAGCTGCGTCCCTGGTAAAATGAAATTTTACATACTTTTGAAAAAAAAAGACCCTTTGAGTAGATGTAACACTTGCAGCATATGTTGACATACTTGCGTATACTACATTGTCATAAATTATCGTAGGCCTGTTTAAATATTGTCATATTGTTTTCAGGTATTCTTGATAGAAAATACAACATTAAAGGCACCTACCCTTTGAACCTCTGTGAAGCTTGTGCCAAAAACAGCGGCAGGTGCAGCATGACTGAGGATAGATACGCAGGCATTGAAGGCTCTCTTACATGCCTTAGTGAATCCAAAGGACAAGTTGCTTTCGTCGACCGCACATTCTTAGAAAAGATCATCGCTGATGGTCGTAAGTCAATTTATTTATATAAATAAGCTTTATAATATTGATTTACCAACAGAATTACCAAACCAAAACAAATTAAGGGATAATACGCATTGGGTCTTTTTTTAACAGGTGCAAGTAACTATAAGGTAATATGTGAAGATCAATCGACTGATCTGGACCAGCAATCTACCACCTGGAAAACCAACAAAGCTTGTCAACTTGCTGTCACACCACGACCAACGGTGGTCGTGAACAGCCAGAAATCTACTACCTACATATCCAACGTCATTGACCTGATGACCAAGGCTGCCAAAGTACGTTCCATTTGCTGATTCAGTGATTAGTTAATACAATTTTAGATGTCGGTCCTTTTTATAAATGATCAGTAATCATAAATGTATTTAGGAAGAGACCGTGGTTGGAAATTTATTAATATCGATCATTTGGTACCTTTAGTACTCAATAGCTAAGCCTCTGTGGGCTCTAGTGCTGGAGTTGTTTGTAGTGGGGTAAAAATGTAATCTCTAAACCAGGACCCTCATAATATTTATAACAAACAAAATTTTTAGTATAGACAAAATTTTTATTGATACATTTTTATACAGATCTACGGAAAGAAATCAGTAAGCAGCTTCAAACTCTTTGAATCTGTCAGCTACAAGTGCCTTGTCAAGGATAAGGAAGGTGTTTATGAAAATGACATCATCTTTAGAGACACCAAGGGTGACGAGACTCGTGAAATTGTTACAATCACCGATGATAAACCATTTGCCGATGAATTCTTCCGAGAGTTCTCTAGCTGTATGAATCTGGATCCTAAACCAAGTGCAAAATGGTGTGTTGTCACCCAGGCCGCCCTCGACAAGTGCATAGAGATGAAGACGAACTTCGACAAAACTGACAAGGTAGGATTAACAAAATAGGGCCTACTGTATGCATAATTTAACAGGCCCTATTAAAAAAAATTAATTATTTCATCAGCTCTAGATGGTTGTAAATGTTGGTTCAAAACATTCAATGAAAGTTACGCATCTACCTTAAATTTGTTCCCTGGAAAAAGACCTAGTGGAAGTCCAACAATAATGCTGGATCAACAACGTTAAATCAAGACAGGGCTGTTTTGGTATAAAAACATAATGGTGTTACAACAAGAATGTCCAGATCAAGATGGAAAGAAATGAAAAGGTTGTGATCTCTATGCAAACTTATTGGTAAACTTTAAATAATTTTGTGGTTATATTTTGAAATTAGTACATTGTTATTTTCAGCATATTATTATTGTTGTTGTATTCTATAGGTTAATGATATTGCTTGGGGATGTGAAAAGCTGCCATCAACCATGGAATGTATGAAAGCAGTGTTGAACGGCACGGCCGACCTGTACTCCACAGATCCAACGGAGACCTTCATTGCAGGACACGAGTTCAAACATCAACCAATCCTCAGCCAATATTTTGATACGTTGACCACAGTAAGTTACCCACTTTATTTTAGTGGTGGGTTAATCCCGATGCACCCTTTTGACATGATGGGGCTTATTTTACTATATGTTAGAATTGATCGGGTTAAGGAGATTTAATAATATATAGATTATCATGTAGTAATTCTAGTTCACGTCAGTTGGTGTCATATACTTCCAAATTGGAGATGAATTAAAAAAATGAACATAATTTGTCCATAATATCTATATTACTTATTAAAACATTTAGCTCCATTCTACATCATTGTTTCGACAACTCTGTTTTCGTTTCGAATTGTAGCCTCTTTACACTGACACCACCAACAAATCGTTCGACGAAACCACCTACACCTACACCATCGGTATCATGAAGAAGGATCGATTCTATGACTTGTATGGCAGCGATGCCCGCCACGTTAAAAGTCTCCGCAACTTAAATACTTGCCATGCTGGCATGAAGAAGGTTCGTTACTTGAAATTCTATATTGTAAAGAATATTTGATATATTCTTACAATATAATAATCCGTCAGGAGACATTTGTAGAGAGAAAGCTATAAATCTTATCTAAACCTATGTTTTTCTTTAATGTTATACTTTTGCTTACTTTTCTCTGTCAATACATATCAATATACGAATGTTGCAAACATTTTTATTGTGATGTTTCAGTTGTCCTCTTTCCACCATCCCATTGGCTGGCTTTTGGCTAACGGAACCATCCCACGTATTGGCTCAATCTTCGAGTCTGTCAATAGATACTTTGATTTGTCGTGTCTTCCAGGTAAATAAAATACCTTCCTCACCTTGTGATTTGATTAAAAATTACTGTAATTCAAATTTTTAAATTATACAAAATAATATGATTTAAATAATGTATTGAACTTCGTTCGTCGATTTCTAGGAATCATTATGATAAATGAATGAAGCTCAAACTTTGTAATCACTTTGTTATGACTCATCATTATCACCACATCACCACCACTACCACCCCATTCTAAACTTCATCATCATCACTGTGATCATTATCTTAATCATCATCACCCCTGCCATCATCATTGTTTTAATCATAATTATCATCAACATCTTCATTATCCCCTTTCTCACCAACATCATTCATCATTAATGCATATCATTTATAACTATCCATATCATGTACATTTGTATAATTATGTATGTTCACAACCAGTATTTGATTTAAACTAATTTTAAGAACTTTTATATTTTTAGGATCCGATCCTAGCATCTGGAGACTAGATACCGATCTACTTATGGGTCACGAACTCAACTGGGGATTTAACAGCCTTTACTTTTACAACTTCACTGGCTTCCAGTGGTTTATCTGGAACTCACCAGCTACATGGAACTACTACAACTGGGACAGGCAGACACCATGGTATGCAGTCTGTGTAGTCCTTTGTAAATTGTCAGCACCTTTTCAAATGTATTATCCGTAAATGAAATTATACTGAAACTGGTTGTAACTGATTTTGCGATATCCGTTCGTTACTAGACACCAAGGTCTACGGCTTGTTATAATAACAGCATGTGGCGACCTCTATACAGATCTTTTCAGAACACAAACACATACATGCATATGAATGTCTACAATATTTATATATATTAATGTGTTTATGTATTGATATGACACTGTGTCAATAAATCGATCTTGTATCTTGTATTTTGTTGTATTGTGATATACCGATATGTTTAATTTGTATATGCCCCATTACAGCACACTTCAGTCGCTCCTTCTGGATAACATAGAAAAACAAAGTGGACTTTCTGGCATCGGTAAGACTCATATTCATCAAGATGACCTTGACTGGCAAATGCTCAAAGACATCGTCGGCCTCCCAGATGATATCACAGTAAGTATACCCAGTTATTGAAAAAATTATTGAAAAATAACATTGAAATCATATTACACTATTAATTTTAACCAAAACCATCATAATACAGATTTAGTCGATATTCAATAATAACCATTATCCATAGTTGATCAAATTCACAAGATATTCCAATAACCATGATCAAATTCAATTTATTTTCATTAACATGTAACATATTTCTTTATGACAATAATTGGCTTATTTGATGAAATATAAATATGTTTATTTGATGCAGCATGTTCAAGGATTGGACGATCAGATCACCAACAGTGGACCTCCAGGAGCTCCACGAAAGAATTCCAGAGTTAACGACATCCAGAAACACAATGAAAAGTGCGTTGAAAAAAACAATGGTATAAATATAAATACAGTTAAGGATTCAGCGCGTCATTTATCCAAGAAATGCGCTTATAAATTATATTTCAGATTACTTATAAGAATTTTATTGAAATGAAATGAAATGAAAACAAATATATTACTAGATTAATTTAAAAATGAACGTCCTTATTTAGTCTATACAATTCTGTTTGATTTCTGTTCTTTATTACATATTATGTTTTCATTGCAGTGGAGTGAAAATTGGCCGTTTGAGAAGCAATATTTTGTCATACGCCCTTCAAATGCGTTACGAGAGAATGGAACAACTGGGAGAAGTCATGAAGTTCCTTCACAATGTCCCAACCGTCCCAGACATCCGTAACAGGAATTCTGATTGGATGAATCACCCATCTGTCCAGGTGATGATAACAAATTTCCAACTCAAATATTATTATAGGAATCATGTTTATTAAACTTGAAGGCGCAGTTTCTTTACCTCGGGTTGTTTTAGCTACTGTAACCATACATCAACACAAAACTAAATAAATAAACCGACTTGTTAAGACTTATGCTACAATTAAATATTTTTTTCTAGAGTTACCTTGAGATTTACTATCCAAATATGATCGGTTATTACAGCGGCTTGTTTGAAGATGCAGAGATCCGTAAGCGTGAATTTAACCGATACACCAACCCAATCTGGCTGTCTACTAAGTACTCAAACTACGTCGATGTCATGAAGGTATCTCTCTATTTCTCTCTTGTCGTACCTTAATTTCTAAGTTTAAAGTTTGCTATTTCTCGAAATTTCATGATTGGTTACAGATGCCTTGGTTAAATAGGACACTTCTTTCCCATACTACATATTATCTCACACTTTTTAGACCACCTTTAGAATCCTGTTCTGTCATCTTTAATCAAATTTCTAAAAGAAACTCTTAACAAATTGACCGAATTCACTTTAGGTTCGTGCGCCTTATCAGTACTGCAACATTTGGCCCTCGTCGTAATAGCATTTTCGACGATGTTATCATTGTCACTTCATTAAATGTTATATACTTCGGTATTTTCTTTGTGTTCAAATGTGTTAATTTTTTTGATTGTAATCTTATATCGTATTTTTGACTTAAAGTTCCCAGTTGTTGTCTTCATCAACATGCTTGATTATTTTTCTGTTCCATTTTGATGTGTTAATGTCTGTAAAAATGTTTTTATTTCACGATTATCTAGTTTATATAATGGTTTTGTTTGCAAAATTAGGATGATCTGTTTTCTAATTCTTTTAATATGTATGTATGTATGTAGGTAGATAGGTGCCCCTGCCTTACCGCTCGACCACTCGACTCTCCAATTTTTAAAATGTCACTTAAATAATTATAGGTTTCGTTAGTGTTGTGTGTTATGAGTGTAAATTGTGAACATTTTGAATGTAATTTGTAATTACTATATACATATAATATCAATTTTTAATGATAATGACAATTTTTTAAATGTTTTTAATTTGAATTTTATACCTTGTGATATTATATTTTAGTTGTTTATTTTTTCAGTTTTCGCCTGTAAGTGGGAAAAGCGTATACTTATTTTCTGATTTTCGCCGGTCAAGTAAGCAGATTCTGTGAAGCTGCCACTATCACGATATACTGTGCTATTTCTTTCCTATTAGACATATTGGGTGTTCTACATTACAAATTAATTAGTTATCTTGTGTATTATCTGAAACAGTAAAATAATTTTTGATTTATGTAAGGTAATTTCATATCTGTTTCATTACTTGTCCAGACTCATCAGAGAGAAATGTGCCATAGCTGCATTGGATACGGACCCAAGAAATGCGTAGAAGACACTACTGCCGAGCCATACTTTGACTACATAGGCTCGCTCGCATGTCTGGAAGAAAAAGCTGGTGACATCGCTTTCTTTGAGGCCCACAAATTCCAAGAACTCTTGAACGCTGATGGTCAGAAACGCCCAGAAGAGTACGTCTTGGTTTGCCCAACAGGCGAAGTCGTCCTCTACCAAAATGAAGTTAGCATCATCGAAAAATGCAACTTCGGTCGCGTCCCATACCCTGCTATCGTTACTTCACATATAAAAACTGGTATGTATAATTTTTCTTTAATTTGTAATTTTAAGTAGACATATAAAGTTTTATGAATTTTTATAAATTATATTCTAATTATTATAACAGCAACCCAACTAGCGATATTGTACAATGTATGAGTTGATTAAAGTATTATTTCTTTTCGTCAACAGGTAGCTGGAGATGGAACGTCACCAAAGCTCTCTTAAGTGCGCAGGAGATATTCAACGTCCAATTGAGGAGAAGCGATCCCGCTCAATTCAGTATGTTTGGAGAGAATAGCGTGTTCGATCGTTCCACCACTGAATTGAGACCGATAAACCTCCTGCACCAGACACACCAGACCTTCCTCGGACCAATGCTCCTCCATTCAATGGAAGCCATCATCAAGCCATCAAATTGTACGTAATTTCAACAATTGTATCATTATCTACACAAATATTGTACAACACAGTTGTATGCCTTGCAACATTGCCGAAGACTATAGTGGTGTGATAACATTTTGGAACCTTAGAAATTCAATAAATTCGTTAATATGTTTTCAAAATGAAATAAGTCAGACGGTTAAAAGCATCATCTAATAGAATTATGTTTATTTCAAAGCCTACAATAACAGTGATGTAACCCAGTATGTAAGACAATGTCCGTGATACGAAACCCATCGGTCTGAAAAACTGTAACAACAAAGATCTTCGAAATTTCCATCTCATGAAGTGAATATAATTCCATATTTCAGCTTAATTGAGGGAAAAAATATAGACTGGATCGTTACCTGTTTTGACACTGACGTTGCATTGTTTCCGCAGTCACACATTTAGATTTCTGTGGGTTAGCTCACAGCTATGTATAAAACTAAGTTGTTGCTTGTTCGTGTACATGGAGTTGTTAGAGTGTAGAAATTCCACCTTATCAAACAATACGCTGGAAGATCCGTTTAAATGAGGCATTGCCTTCTATGGAGACAATAATAACATTAAAGCAATTTGTTCAGACAAACGATTTCTTATAGTTTAAAAAATAGTTTTGCATCCTATGAATTATGTATTTTTGCCACACTTTTCTTTTTAGTTGACTGGTGGAAAGAAGACAGCAAGAAGTGTTATGGAGAGACTTACACCAATATCCTTACTGAAAAAGATGGTACTTGCAACGCTATAGTGAAGAACGTTACTTGTGTTGGCAGTCCACCCACTAAGACTGTCTCTGTAGGACGTTATGGCAAGAAAACAGAAGTCACTGTAGAAATGTGCAGGTGATTTAACAAATATTGTCTAATCAATAAAATAACTATATCAGCAGAAACAATTAAAAAAACAATTGAAAACAATTATTTACGTTTTCCAAAATGCAAAAAAAAAAACACTGAACAAAGAAATTCCTGTGAAAAACTAGCTATAATATATACAGGACCAGATGAAATTCTTCTATGATCAATAGAATCGTATTTACTTAAACGGTTTAGGCTTAGCCTATTTTCTAGCATAGAGAGTTCCGAAGTTACATATTGTCTTAATCTTCTTCATTTTCAAAACTGAAATAACTGCAATCTGTATCACTAATTTAATACTGTAGCCACTTATGGCATTATTATGATTATTTATTATTGATCTGAATTCAGTAAATAAGATATGTGAACACATTTTGTTGCCATTTTTTGAAAATTATCTTGAGCAACATGGTATATATGTCAATTTGTGAAAATTCGATGAACTACAGAGTGTGAAAGTTTGTCTTTGCATCTTCTGAATAAAACTGATCCTCCCACGTCTTCTCATAATTAATGTTGAACCAGTATTTTTCTTTCTGGAAAAACTTAAACATCCTTTTCTCTGAACACAAGTATATTCAATCTGTTAACAATCTTAATAAATCATTTACAGATAAAATCTCTCTAACATGACATTATTTTCTTGACAGCCGTCCAACCAAACACATCCGCAAAGTAGCCGAGTTCACATGTGAGAATGGAGATGGTTACATGAAACCAGTTACCGTCGCGGTCAGCTGCGAATGTGTGCCATGTAATGAGCTGACATACTCGCCGACGTGGAACAAAGACCACTTCTGGAAGACCGACGCGAAGTTGTACCACAGAAACAAGGTGTCAAACAAGGAATCTGACTACGATCTTTGGGGTGAGTTGTATTTCAGTTCCTTCTGAAATTACTCTTAAATCGAAGACCCGATATAAAACCTATGAAAATTGTAAATCTAATAACAGATGCATTCATATAGTGGCTATATTTTTATAATAAGGATGTATGTGCTTTGTTTAGGCACGAATGCAGATCCCTGAAAACTCCGGCATTCCTAGAATATTAGTAACACCACTTTTACTTGTTATATATTATAGAAATGACGACATAGAAAGTTGAGACAAAGATCACTATATATGAAAGACAGACAGAATGTAATTTACTTACTTAATTGTGTAGATAAGACATCCACATTATATAAAACAAACCATTCATATCATGTCATATCATTTATTTCACATGTAAAAACAATAATAATAAAAAAAAGATGTATGGCTGACTGGCCGGATTGCTCAAAATCGATGCAAAGTTTCTGTCACTGGGCTCTCCGGGCAGCGCATACAGTACAATAACACATAAAACAATCGAGTATAAAAATATAGATACGGTAACTAACACATAAAACATTCGAGTATAAAAATAGATAACTACAGTATCTATCATTTTGATAGATAACAATCAATTTTTTTGATTGAATCAAAACAAAACAAAAAAACCCTAATTATTCTGAATTCATCAATTTTTTTTTTTTGCAAAAATCAGTTACTGCTAATCGATGAAACAACCAACTGACATTTCCGTCGGTATTATGCCCCGCACTCTAACGTCTGGAATCTATATCGCATGGAACCAATGCAACTGATTCATAACGATCATTAGCCTTTTAATATTGACAATTGTGTTTCATTTTTCTTTGTAGGTAACAAACTTCAAGGCAAGGCTACACTCTAAAAGGACATTCGACTTTAAATTTTAAATTATCGCTTCTATCGCGCTTCACCTAATGTATTGCACTATTGAAATATAGAGCTTAATTATTGCTTTTGCTGGTACAATATTATGTTGTATACTGTTTTATTATGTAAAAAGGTAAGTCAAAGGTCCAGTCAGGTAAATTAACTAAAACTCACTGATGATTCAACACTGTTAGTCTTAAGAGACTTAAAAAAAAAAACTATACAGCCCATTGTGACTGACTCAGTTCCACTTATTTTTAATTTGCTAATTAATTATTAATTGTGTGCAGTGTTATAATTCATTTCTATTTTATTTGTACGAATTTTTTTTGGATTTTGTTTGATTGCGCAAGTTATTTTGTATTGCATGGTGATTTGTTACTTCGGTACACGAAAAAAGACAAATAAACAGTACTTTTTTTGCACAATGTATATTTGTTTTTAATTTATTTAAAGTAGGCCTAAATATCTTTTTTGTCTAATACTGCATATTAAAGGAATATGAATGAGGAAGGACGAGCAGGGACGTAGCCAAAATTTTTAAAAGGGTGTGTTTGGAGCCGTTATGCGAGGTCAATTGGGGCAAAGCCCTTTGGGAAGTAGCGCACTCTGAATGTTTTTATGACTGTTGTGAGAGGATAAAGTTAAAATTGCAATAGACGCATCATAAATAATATCAGTAAGCCTAACAATATTTATATAATAACTTAACAGTGGCGTATCTAGGAATTCGAAAGAAGTGACCCTGGGAGGGACTTTCACGGACTGAGGAACCACTGACTTCAGCCCCACCGTGGTTGAGGCTGAGCTAAGAAAATTTACGATTAGGACACATCTAGATGGCCGGAAATTACACTCTCAGACTTAAATTTTAATATATTTTTCTCTTTTTTTTCCATTAAAAAAAATACGGGGTGGGGTGCTTGAATCCGCCACTGCTCAATACATTTTTTATCCAAAATAGTCACGATAAAAGGGCATGAAAATCCAGATCACATCCTCAGGAATCACTAAGACATTCTCTGAGCACAGGTGCCGACTCTATGGAGTTTAATACCCAAGAAAGTGCGTATATATGTTTTGAAATGTGGAGGGGGATATTTGGTGAGTTGAAACCCACCTTAATCCCACCATAGTTGGGCAGAGGTGCGAAAATTGAAGGAAATAGTACCTCTAGATGGCCAGAAATGACACTTTTAATAAAATTCATCATCATTACATCACCATTGTATATAGTCAAAATGAAGCTCCAACAAATTTCTTATGATCTTTTATCAGGGATTTTCAGCAACCATTTAGATCTTATTAATGTGTGTGATGTACCATAAAAAATAAATCTTAAACACATTGTCTTTGTGTATGAATTACATACTTCAAAGCCGTGATTTCACAACCACCTCAGTTTCACCTTGGTTGGGGCTGAGGCGAGTAAATTTGAGGTACCGTACCTCTAGATGGCCGGAAATGACACTTTTATATAGTAAAATTCATCATCACCACATCACCATTATATAGTCAAAATTAAACGCCAACAAATTTCTCATGATCTTTTATCACGGATCTACTTAATATCCAAGACAACTCCGGCCTAACCATAGCTTACTAAGCTTTAACTACTATAATGATTAACAAATCACAGCTTTCTTTTTCGCCTTTAGCACAATTTCCTTAAGTCTTTAATATTATTAATATTATTATCTATTATCATTGTCACCACCGCCATCATTATTATTATTTACTACCACTAGTAGTAGTATTATTAAACAAAACGTTATAAAAGCTTGCAAAATGATAAAACCAAACTGAACCATACATATCACATTTCTGTATCTTAAAAGATCTGGCCTTCCATGGGATTTATGGATTTAAGATTTTTAAAAATCACGCTTAGGCCATGTGTTATAATTATAATAGTAGTCCTTTTAGGCCTATATGCATAACGTGTGCTGATGCATATTTACATACTTTAGAAGTATTTATTTTGAGTGATCCCAGGAAATAATTTGTATTGGCCAGCAAGAAAAAGCTTTAAAATGTTAACACTGTGTACAAAAGAGTGGGGGGGGAGCCTCCTCCCCCTGGATACGTCCCTAAATGAGCGAGTAAGAGACCTAGGTAGGTCCCAAACCAGTTTACTACTAGCTAGACTGAACCTATATTCTAGCCTCAGAACCTCGCGGTGGGCCAGAATGATCCTGGGGTGATGGAGTCGGAGAGATCAACTTTGCTTAAAAGAGATATTAACTGATATGTACTGACGGCTTCCTCATTGGCGGAACAGAGAGGCCTGAGATGAAAACAAAAATTTATAACGTGAATCTGCATAATCAATCAATAAAAACACCGGTAAATATAATGAAAATGTGTGAGTATAGTGAGATACGTATACAGTAAGATCGTATGACAATATATGATATAACTGGAGAAAGTAAAGATTTAATCAGAAAGTGAACATTAAACAAACACATCCAAAGAAATTAAGGGGGTGGGAAGCCCCCCCCCCCTTGGAAGGTACAAAAACAAAAACAAAAAAAAAAAAGAAAGAAAGAAAAAGAGAAAATTGGCCAAACGCCTCAGAATCTATTTTCGGGCGTCTAGAACACCAAAATTTCGCTAGGGCATGTCCCCGGACCCCCTAGGGTAGTATTATCTCGATATGCCCCCTTTCGCCCGCACTAAGCCAGCACTTAAAGCAACAAAAGAAAATCCTTTTGTAATTTTTTTCAGTACACACATTAGAGATCAAACAGACCTTTCATATGCATGACCTCGATGTTTCAAAGGAGCTGTAGAGTCACATAAGATTTTTAGATAGAAGGTAGTTCGTAACAATTACATAGCTATTACTGTAAATATTGATTGATCTGAAGTAGGTTTACCTTTTTAAAATGTGAAATTAATGAAATATGAAGGTTATTTTTTTGATCTGCATATGACATGAATAAAAACGTTACGCAACAATTGCGTGATTGTTAACACTTTCTAGATTATTATGTATGCCCTTGGTCTTATTGCCTCTTTATTCTCCTAAGTTTGTGTCTTATTGCCTCTTCAATTTCATAAATTTGTGCAAAGGCTTCAACATTTTCATATAAAAGCTCCCGCATTTAAAAGGCTACTGTATACTAAACTTCATCAAGCACAATTTCAACGAAGTCTATGAAAATGGACCCAACAGTGCTGATCTATAGTGTTATCGGTTTCATTGGGTGCTCGACAAATGGATTTGCGATATTTATTCTATTTCACTTAAACAGCCGGTTGAGTACAACGAACCTTCTGATCACAAACCAGTGTATCATTGATTTTGTCACATCTTTGATGTCGCTTTGCCTTTTTCTCGATCCCAACATAATGACTCGACTTCCAGATTCGAATAGTGTGGCAGAATTCGTCTGCAGGTTTTGGTCAAGCAAATATATATTCTGGGCATGCACATGCTCCTCAACGGCTAATCTTGTGGTACTGACAGTTGATCGTTATTTTGCCGTAATGCATGCAATAAAATATAATGTAATTAAAGAGAGGCTGTCGATGAAAGTATTGTTTTTGTTAATTCCCTGGATATGTGGTTTTATGTTCCTCCTCCTCTGGTTTGCGGCACACACTGTAAAAGATGGAGAGTGCATCCAGAGTTGGCCGAGTGTTGATTATCAGAAAGCGTTCGGTTTATTGACTACTGTTTATCTCCTAATTATTCCTATCAGTGCAATGCTATTTGTTTACATAAATATTTTTTACGCTCTTCGATATCGAGTCGGAGATGTCTCATCTACAATAAATGCAAACTGTGAGGCCAGGCGACTGAACATCATTAAGACTATGGTAATCGTCAGTGTAACATACATTGTCTGTTGGACCCCAAACCAAATAGCATTTGTTAACTTCACATTAGGTGGAGAGCTTGATTTTCACGGAGCAGTTTACTACATCACAATAGCCATGTCTCTTGTTAACATCTGTGTAAATCCAATAATATACACCTTCAAATATAATGACTTCAGGGTGGGTGTGCGAAAGACTCTGCCGTGTCTTAAATCAATATTCACACCACAAGAACCCACACCACCCAACTGACCACCAGGAACTCACAGTGGACGCTTTTTCTGTCATTTTGTAGTGAATTAACCGCACATTTTATTATAATTCAATCATGTATTTATATCCATCATTATTAAAATCCCAAGAACGTATATCGACAGAAACTGTGTCTACAAATTCGATGTCATAAATGTCAGATTGGCAAGCAAACGTATTGGCTGCCTACACACCATTGGCGGCGCCAGGATTTTTACCGACTGTTTAAGGTTCAAAAGCTTATTAATCGATTTTAGAGCCTATTATATAAAAAATACGTATAATTTGTTTTCTCCCCTACGAATTCTGGTTATTCTCCTCGACGGAGAGGGTGAGGCAAGGCCTCCTCAACGGGGAAGGGAGGGGGGTAGATCATATAGTGACCAGTAAGACGCCCTGACCACGACTCTACCGATAGTTCGGAGTATAGCAGGAGGGTCAAAGAGTATAGCAGGCCAGGGGGGGGGGGCGCCTGTGGCCCCCCAGTGGGGTCCAGGGGGTTTCGTCCCCTAGAAGGCACGGATACTTGACGAATTATGGCGAATTTTTATTACTTGGGCCTATTTGATAGGCATCGAGCTACTACTGTAATATATGACTTCATGTAGGCTATGTTTTCTAATGCGGAAATCAGCAAGACCAAAACATTTTGAATAAAACAAGAAACAAAGAGTATGCAAATCATCTAATTTATTTTCAAATCCTTATTTGAAGTAAAATTCTACATTTTGGAAATTTTGCATGAAATCTGTCAGGGGGTGGGGGATATAGCCCTCTTAGCCTCCATCTATGCGCCACCACTGGCCCTTGCTATGCCATTTTCGATATGTGATGGTCTGCGACCTGTAGACCACGCACAATAGGCCCTTTTAAAATTTAGAGCACTGATGAATATTTATTACTTCGTAATTTGCATAACGAATCGAATTATATATAAGCCATGACTTCTTACGATGTCATTATTTACGTAATGATACTCGACCTCAACGGTTATTTATCATTGGCAGTAAGAAACCATTATTTAGATATAATGACCTTGACACGATAACACGTGTGCATTATATACATATAATGACTTTGAAGTCCAAGCATTATATAGGCCTACATATAAAGGTTTTGCGACAGCTATTATTTATATATAATGAAATGTAAAAGCAGTTATTTATATATAATGAGTTTGAATCAATTCGCTATTAATATAATGATGAAATCAGAGAACGTATATAATATAAATAATTGTAAGTTCATTATTTATATATAATAATTTGTTACCTTTTCATTATATATACCGTACCGTATATAATGGAATCAGTGAACTTATTATATATAAAATTGTAGTTACTTTTCATTATTTATATATAATGATTTGTTACCATTTCTAATTATTTATATATAATGAAACCAGTAACCTTAATATATATAAATAATGTTTGGTTACCCTTTAATAATTTATATATAATGAAATCAGTAAACTAATTATATATAAATAATGAAAATATTAACGCAATTATTTACCTATAATCTTTTAGGTGTAAATGCATTATATATAAATAATGGGTGATCATATTCAAATGTTAAATAATAAATTATATATAAATAATTGTGTTAAATAATAAATTTACACTTGGCGCCTCATATAGCCACGGCGTTTTTTTTAATGGCTAAAGCCTAAGGGCTATAATAATTATGTGATTTTAGTAAGCTTGTCTGGAATATTAAATGTACAAATAAATAATTGGAATATTAATAATTATTTAAGTTGTTCGCAAAAGTAAATGAAACTTATGTCGAATTAAAGAATCAGTACACTTATTAATGTTGTTATCTCAATAGTTTATTCATGTACGGTATTCTTTACTACTGTGTAGCCTGCTATAACATTTTGATTGCTATACTAATATACAAACTTTTATTTCCATTTCAATAAGAGACAGAGGTTATCGATTATTACTTGCACAGGGCAAGTTCCGTTTAGAAAAGTTGCTAAATTCGTAGGATGCCCAGGCTAACCATGGAGATATAAAAATAGACTCTATAGTCCGACATGCACCCATACTTCTCAAACTGGATTCAATCCTTAAAATCATCCGTATCATCATTCTCACAATCATCATCATAATTAAATTACTTTGAAGTTGCTCAGCAAACTCTCATTGGGGGCGGGGTGCTTGAGGGCGCATGCTTTTTAGTGGCCGTGATTTCCCACCCCCCCCCCACCCACTCCCAAGCTACACCCATCCCCAAAAGCACCCCTCGCTGAGATGAGCCACTAGCCTACGTGCATTGTACATGACGTAGAGGCTATTTTTTAAAGCGTGCGTAAGCAATCTACAGAGGGCGTATGTCTATGAATGGTTAGAATAGTAAAATTGTTTTTATTTTCCCTACATAATCGCGACAGGGTATCGGCAGGTAAATATGATATTTATATGTTATTTATACAACCAATACCTATCACTGTTTTAATCGTTATAATAAATAAAATTAACCCATTTTTGTACTATGCATTTTTAGGATTATCTTCTTCTGTGGAATTAGAAATTACTGATTGTTTTCGAAGTCACTAGGCCTAGCTAGGCCATCCATAGGCTAGGGCCTAGGTAGGCCGCTTAGTAGAAAAGGCTTGGAGGAATGTATCACAATCGATCATCTCATCTGTGCTCGACTTTAATCACAGAATTCAGATTGCCTAGGCCTAGGCTAACTCAGAGGACTTTAATAATAATAGGAAGTTGATATATTTTTTTCACCGTAAACAGATCATTAAACGATATATTTACGTGAAATAAGTAACACATGCATGCAGTCAAATTAAAAAAATAATAAACATGCATTATCGGTCATGTAAGTTTATCGATTTAGGTTAAATTTTTCTATTAATGCAAGTTTAACTTTCAACACTTGAAATTAGCGTCGGCCCAAACTGCGGTGCCCAAGCTCAACACGGCACTGATTTAATTGTTGTTTTATTATTAAACGTAATTTAATTTTCTACAATAGTATGTAATTTAGTCATTACATAAATTATTAAATTAAATCATTGCGATAACGATTCACATACTATGAAAGTGATATTACTGTATGAGCTGGAAATATTTGTGTTTTTTTCATTTTACTCACGTCATTTGTTGAATAAACACACTTGAAAACGTACAATACTTGGCATACACCAAGACATGGAGGTTCCCTGCTAAAACTAGCACTCAATTACCACAAAATCAAAACGATATTCTTTAGGCCTTAGACTCTACGAAGTATGCTATGAAGCAAGAAGTAAACAACAATGCATATTAAATCATTACAATTAAAGTAAGACAAAACAAATATTTTTAATGTTTTATTTAAACACATTTTCCCACATCGTCACAAAAACAACATTGGCAATTCATAGAGTGTGGATCACACGCTCTTTAAACATCTTGCTTGATGTTGTTCTTCGCGCTCGATCAAGGCTAGAGGCTCACCTCATCTAAAGACTATATTAAATGATGTTGTTTTTGTTAGGGTCAGTAAATGTGTTTGAATGAAAACATTAAAATGTTATTTACTTTGTGATGATTGACTGTCGTACAACAATACAGACTTAGGCCTAGAAGAATGTCATACGGAGCCAAGATCTTTATAAAGTTACTGGAGTCAACCCATTATCTGAGCGTGTTATGGTCAGTGTTTGGCCACATCGTTAGAATGGAAGAAACATTCCCTGCATACCTTGCTTTGTCATTTGCAGTTGATGGGTACTGCCAACCAGGTAGACGCGGCCGTCATAAAACCAACTTTCTTGGAGTACTTTGTAAAGACCTTCAAAAATGTGACCTAAAACTACAGAACTTTGGTGTGCCCCCTCATCGATTTGGTCAAAAGGCCCCCCCCCCATCAGCCAAAGCTCGCCTTGCAGTCAGACCAAAAGAAAAAAAAAATAAGCCTAGTTTTCCCATCCCAGCCATTTCCGGCCATCTAGAAGTCCCAAATTTTTAAAAAAATCTTGTTTTGGGAAGGAGGACACCCCCCTCCTATACCCACCCCCGGCTCTGGACTTCGGCCCTCAGA